TTTTCTTTTTTTCATGTTTTAAATCATTTCAAATATCAGTATTCAACGTTTTATGTTTAATATATCAAAACATTATTTATGCATTTGTAATTGCAGGTTAAATGCATTCATGTCTTGCATTAAACAAAATACATGTGTGTAAATACATCTAAATGCCACTTCAGATGCAGCTTCTGTGTTGATTTCATTTGCTTGGTAACAGCCCAAATGTCTTATTATTCTAATTCCCTGATTAAATGTAAGAATTTGACTCAAAAGATAATGGACACTTTTAGAAAAAATGGCTTTATAAAGGTAAAAATGCCCATAAAATGCAAAAATCAGTTTAAACTTATTGGAAAAGATTCATTTCTATCAGTATGAACTGACCACCACACAGACTATGAAGGATATTAAAAACATTAGGAGTCAGCTGTCTTCGGCAGTCCTTAAGGTACCAGCACAATAACGTTCGTTAATATCTTTATCGATAAAATCCCAGAAAATATTGAGATATAATTTTTTGTCAATATCGCACACCCCTATACTGAACATGAATTTCGCCAGCTAAAGAGGAGACTAAAGGTAGAAACTCCCCAAAACAAGCAAAAGTTAAAATCGGCCGTATTAAAGACTGGGAAAAGCATTTCAATGGATGAAACCAAGAGTCTGGTGATGTCTGTGGGTCGCAGACTCACTGCTGTGATTGCATGCAACGGATTCACAACTAAATATTAGCTTTTAAACTTTTACATTTGCTTTAAGTTCAATTGTCCCAATACTTATGCTCACATCAGATTAGGGGATGAAACTCTAAAAGTGCTGTCCTTTTTATTTGGTAAAACATCTATGTGTTAAAACGGCTAATAATAACATGTGACATTCTGTAGTTTTGTCTCATATTCATCTTTTAATCATATTTACTTGTGGAGGGCACTGTATATATTTACATTAATTTACATTTAGTCATTTAGCAGACACTTTTATCCAAAGTGACTTACAAATGAGGACAATAGAAGCAGATTACTGAAAGAACCACGAAAGAAGTCTGGTTTGGCGTTGTGTCATGTGAACGGATACAGTCTGCTCCGGTCTGGAGACGCGAGAGCGCGGAGCGCTAGACCACAAACCGTATCTGTCGTGTTTGTCCCAATATCAGTATATTCGAAGGAGCTATACAATAAACACACAATGGAGGCCAAATGCACTTAACAACTTGAACTTCTTCCTAGTATGCGTGTATAGTATGCCCACAGTATGCGGTAAATGCTACACTACTTCCTGTTCTGAAAAATCTCATGGACCAATGGCAGTTCAAAGGTGTTTAACAGCCACCGCAAAGTTTTCTGGAAAGTTTGTGCTGGCAAGCTGCTTCGAACCACTGACAAACTCCAAATCTTTGTTTTGCTTTAAGCAACTGCATGTAGTTTTTTGCATTTTGGCAACTTTTTAAGCCCCCTACAGTTAAATGAGTGCAGTTCACGCTTGTAAATATATCACTGTTTTAATTACACTGGATAGCTATACTTGGGCATTTGTTGTCCTTTTTTTTTTGCTGAATTTCGTACGTGCTCACCAGACTTACATACACATACATGACATTACTAAGTAACCACTGAATGGAATAACACAAAATAGGTATCATTTTAAAGCTTTTTAATGAATGTAATTATTTTGATCAACTCTTAACGAGTGCTGAGTAGTCCCTCTAAACCGGAGTGTACCGCCGGCGGGCGCCACCTAGCGAAGAAAAAAAAAAAATCTTATTTTTCAAAACCACTGCCTTGATCAACACAAAATAGGTGTCATTTGAAATCTTAGTGTCTGAACTTTACAATGCATGTGGCCACTTTGATTAACTCCTAAGTAGTGCTGCGTTATTTGCTGATAAATAGAAAAAAAAAATGTTTTCAAAATCTATGAAATGTTTTTTGTGCCATGTACTCTAATATGTCAGAAACATCATACAGCTCAGATAGTCATGTGTCATATGTCATTTGAAAGGTCTCACAGAGTAGAATAAAACAAGCATAATTGTTTGGGGCTTTGACTAAACTTGAGCAAGGCATTACTTCTGTGTATGTCACTCAGAAAACAATAATTTCAAAACAGTCAAGGGCTAAGAAAAAGGCTACCTTGGCTCCAAATGCTGTAACTTTTGATTACTTCATGATATCACCACAAAAATTACATACAGCCCACATGTTGAGGAACATCACCAAAAAATAATTTCCCTTGAGCACATTTAATTAATTAATTAATTAATTTTTTTTTTTACAGTTTATCAACTATTTTTCAGCAGAAAAATTTCCAAATGTAAAGATTTTTTCCCCCTAAAAATACAGAAAGTTTTCTATCAAACAATACCTACCTTATGACTCTCCTTGCTACAGTTTTGGAGTTATGAGTCATTATTTTTGTGTATCACTCAGAAAAAAACAACACCTTCAGGGAGGCAAAATTGCCTTCAGGGCTTAAAGGGTTAAAGCATATCTGGCCTTAACAAGGCTCTTGTTACCTAGATGGTGTTAATGTTGGAAAGCAGCTCTACAGTGAGTCAGATCTGTTCATGGGTCAAGAAGAGTTTAAGCTGGCAGGTTTAATGAGCTTTAGGTGCTCATGTGTGAAGAGGAAGAAGTCACCGTACTCTGTTGTCATGCAGTCTAGTGTGTTTCCAGGCTCTGACTGTGAATATTCCCTGAAGCTTGTTAACATTCATGCATACGCACATGCAAATAAGGAACATCAACAAAAAATAATTTCCCTTGAGCACATTTAATTAATTAATTAATTAATTTTTTTTTACAGTTTATCAACTATTTTTCAGCAGAAAAATTTCCAAATGTAAAGATTTTTTCCCCCTAAAAATACAGAAAGTTTTCTATCAAACAATACCTACCTTATGACTCTCCTTGCTACAGTTTTGGAGTTATGAGTCATTATTTTTGTGTATCACTCAGAAAAAAACAACACCTTCAGGGAGGCAAAATTGCCTTCAGGGCTTAAAGGGTTAAAGCATATCTGGCCTTAACAAGGCTCTTGTTACCTAGATGGTGTTAATGTTGGAAAGCAGCTCTACAGTGAGTCAGATCTGTTCATGGGTCAAGAAGAGTTTAAGCTGGCAGGTTTAATGAGCTTTAGGTGCTCATGTGTGAAGAGGAAGAAGTCACCGTACTCTGTTGTCATGCAGTCTAGTGTGTTTCCAGGCTCTGACTGTGAATATTCCCTGAAGCTTGTTAACATTCATGCATACGCACATGCAAATAATGTGCAGTCTTCATTTTCGTCATTGCCAGGGGCATGAGGGTGCTGCTGTGACTGCCTCCAATAACTCCTAATTTATTGGAAGTTGTCAACGCCGCACGCAATCACTCCCTTTGTTTCTCCAGCAACTATGTAAATGAAGTGGCACACACTTCATCTAATTTTTGTTTTCTGTGCTTTTAAGTTTTTGTTATGCTGACGGTGCATGCGTGTGTTTTCAGACGGTGTTTCCCGCGCCGGGTCCGCTCTCTTCAATGAGCTGAGGAACGCAGTGTTCGGGAAAGTGGCTCAGAGCTCCATCAGGAGGATAGCCAAGAACGTCTTTCTCCATCTTCATAACCTGGATCTGGGCTTCCACCTGAGCAGGCAGACGGGAGCGCTGTCCAAAGCCATCGACCGTGGCACTCGAGGAATCAGCTTTGTGCTCAGCGCTCTGGTCTTTAACCTGGGGCCTACGATCTTTGAAATGATGCTAGTCAGCAGCATTTTGGTAAGTCAGAATGATGTCCTCACATGTTAGTAAGTTTATAGAGCCACAGTTTTACCACAAATAAAGGCTGTTCATTGGCACAACATGAAGAGTGCCAAAACCTCTCTTTAACTGTGGTAAAATCACTGTAAAGGTGCAGTCACTTTAGTGAAACTAGCAAAATTTTGGAAGCAAGAAAGGTTCATTGTTTCAACTCAGTAGCATAGGGATAGGAGGCTATGTTCAGACTGCAGACAAACCAGATTTTTTAAGTTCATAACCAACTTATCTGCATGGGTTGCTTTGGCTATGATGCAGGCGTACCCACGTTTTTGATGCAAATGCAGGAAAAATAGAGGTGCATCATCTCGCTCTCCAAATAAGCGCCCTGTTGAGTCACGGTGCAGAAGTCCTCTGTCACACGAGAACACTCAGAGACAGAGGAGGCTGGTATATGTTGTGATGTTCCGTGCTGTAGTTTGAACACTGTATGAATACTTCTGACATTTTTTTTATGTTTTGACATTATCGTGGTGTCACGTAGGGGTGCACCGATATCACAATTTAGGCCTATACCGATAACCGATATTTTGCCCGATAAATCTAAATCAAAATTTTTTGATAATTTTTGAGAGTCTGACTACAAAAAATAGTCTCACCATTAAAAGCCATGTCCCAAACACTTCAACATAAATCAAACATAAACATTACAGCAGCCTATTTTGAAACCTCCTTTTACCAACTTTCTTTATGCAAAAAAAAGCCTTATAAATAAAATAATTCTTAAATAATTCAAACAAGTCATTGAACAACATTACTTGCGTGTAAAGAATCAAAATGCATGTGCCATGGATAAATAAAACTGAATAGCCTCCACACGGACAAAAATGAAATGATTTTAATTAAAGCATATTGTTGATGAAAATAACACTATACAAATAAAAGTGGTGGTTATAACTTATTATTAATAATGCATCAATGATTTTGAAAAAGAAACTAATTAATGCAACTGTTTAAAATAGCAGCATAGCTGAAGAGCTGAATAAACTCCGGTAAGCTGAAGCGCTTTGTTAGCAGGTTAATTAGGCTATATTTGAATCAGATATTTATACAACGTAAACATAATATTACAAATTATATATGCACAAAAAGACGCAAATGCACAAGTGATCTTGAACCATGTTACGTGCTGGTCAGATTTGTAGTGGATGTGCTCTTGGCTCCTCCCATAACAATGCGCTGAAAAACGGCAAATAAACCCAAAGAATTCACAACTTTTTATTACAGTAGTGTTCTCTTTATAATGTAATGTATATGACAGTCCCAATTATAGTTATTAATGTTGTGCATTGCTGTTGGAGCTGTGTGCGCTGAAGCTGAAGAGCGTAAACTGAAATGCTTTGCTAGCTGCTTATTTAACTCAAGGAAACACATCCTATATGAGATTAATCAGATATTTATACAACATAAGCATAATATTACAACTTGTATATTTACAAACTTATGCAAATGCACAAGTGAACTCGAACTAACTTGCGTGCTAACCAGAATGGGTAACTTCTGTTGTAGACAGCGCCCTGTACGGCTTTTTTATTAAAAACTATTTTTTTCTGACAGTCTGAACACGGCCTAAGAAGCACCGCTCAAACAAAAGTCACTTTCAAGTCACAGAGCGGCAAATTCATGGGACCAGCTTGGATATGAGCCAAACTTGTGTGGGGAAGATTTTCACCCTCATGTCAAGCTCCCAATTGCGCAGATTCCTGCTGGAACGATGGGATTTTGCATGCAAAATTTCGCAGAGCAGCAGTAAATGTGAACGCACATTAAAGCATGGCTTGAAGTGGCTTATTGCTTTTATAATACAATAACAATAAGATAAAAGAGAACAATGTTCAGTAAGTGCATTGCATTAATTTTGTAGCTACTACTGATAGTGATCAAATTAATAATAATAATAAGAAGAAAAATAAACAATTCTTCCTGCAAGTAAATAAAGTGCATTAGCACAACTGTACACTTGCTGTTTACAATTGCCGCATTTACAGAAAAATCCACTGATGCGTTGTCAGTATTTGGCAACGACCTCGAATATGGTTTACCAAACAAGTTTTATAAATTGAATTTTGTTACAGTTGTTGCAGTTTATGAGTCTTTAAAACAGAGTTGTTGTTTTTGTTGGAGATAATCAGCAGGACGAGCATTTCACTGCCTGTGCTATGAATGTGGCATAAAACACTTTGAGTTTGTGTTAACAAGCACACTGTCTGTAGCTGCAACAGCAGATGCTAAGATACAATCAAATAGAGATTTTATGGTGATTATGCAGTGTCTTTTCCTCAGTGGATCTTCCTACACTAAGTTAGTAATATCTGGAAATTACTATTGCTTATATTGACATTCACCAGACCATGCATACATAACATAACAGTGATTATATGGAATAAAATAATTCTTTATTCCCCAGGCTAATGCGGGACATCATTAGTAAAGTGGCGCTCTTGAGTATAACACATCATTAACCCTCACGCTAGTGTATGTGGTCGAAGAATGAGCTGAAATCTCACATGATGGCTTTGTGTAAGGATTAGAGCGTTAGAAGTTATTTATTCACTAATAATCAATGAAGAGTTCACTTGAGACACCAGTGAGTCCATACAGAAACCAGATTTAACCTGACGTCTGCAGGATTCCTAACATCACACAAATCATGTAAAAGCACACACATCCAAAGTTCAGCTCACAGATGTAAAGTCATGTACAGTATGTAGTCAGAGACTCTTCCCTCAATGAAATGCAATCAAGTGCTCACAGGAGATGTTAATACCAGGAGCATTAATAGTCTTGAGTTGTGGTTTCCCTAATGTGCCTAATATTCACCTCCACAGCTTCTTTAGTGATGGCAGAAACATTAGCTCCAACAGCACATTTCTCCATTTGTCACACTCCATTAGAGTGTGAAATGGTGAAAATGCTGGATAAAATTAATACGAGTGTGGGTTATGAAGATAAATGATGCATCTCATCTCTAGAGACTCAATCCATGTCATGCATATGAAGACGCTGTCTTACAGTTCCTCACAGCTGTTTTGTTGTTTCTCTGCAGTATTATAAATGTGGCGGTCAGTTTGCTCTGGCCACTGTGGGGACGCTCTCGGCATACACCGCTTTCACCATCGCTGTTACGCAGTGGAGGTACTGTATGAGTCTGTCAGATAGCAGTCATTGTTTGTTGCGTTGATCACTGCTGTATTAATCACTGTCTGTGTCTTTGATCAGAACGCGCTTCAGGATCGAGATGAATAAGGCTGATAATGAGGCTGGAAACGCTGCTATTGATTCTCTCCTCAATTATGAAACCGTTAAGGTGGGTCAAATGAAAAACTACATTGTCATTGCGACATTTGTGACATGCCTGAGTAAATCCGACAACTCTTCTTTGTGTTTGTTTGATTTTTTGAATTAATTAATAATTTTTTTTAACAGCAAATAAAAATTGCCATAATTTACTCACTGTCATTTGGAATAAACTGAAGCTTAAACGTGCATGCGATGAGGTTTGCACGTTTGAGCTTCAGTTCGCCATATCTGACGTACTCTATGTAAGACTGGGTTGACGGTATTGATTCATTCATTTTAATCAGTTTGAACCGAGATTGCTATGATTACTAGGAGACGAAAAACAAATGACTACAATATCTGGAATAACAATAACTGGCTCAAAATATCAAATTCTGACTGGATGGAATCCTAGTTTGAACCTAAAAAATAAGAGTCTGTGCCCATCATGTACTACATGATACCTAGCAAATACCTAGTAGGGCTGGGTGTTATGACGGTATAGATCGTTACTGCAGAATAACGTGTCTATCGTTAGAGATTTTGCAAATGTATCTGCATAACATAGTACTACTTAAAAGTTATATTCACCTTTTAGTGTTAACGAAACATGCATGAATGAGAAAATAAAGAGTGGGATGCACTTGATAGAGTTAATAGGTGCAATAAGCAGTGAAAAATAACTCAATGCGGTGCTCGCACTGACTGTCACACAAAGCACACACTCAGAAAGCGCCTCTCAGACAGCATGCGATCACGAATTTGGGACGTGCATGATGTTTAATAAAGTTATTAAGTGCAATAAGCTGTGAAAAATAACTAAATCTGCTGCTGTCGCTGACTGACACACAAAGCACACACTCAGAAAGCGCCTCTCAGACAGCATGCGATCGCGAAAAACAGATCTCTTTCCTGTTTTATTGTGCTTGAATGGTCAAATACGCACATAGTTATGTCATAATGCTCGTCGTGTGGAGTATTCACATAAACAGAGTAGGTTATGTGTTAAATAAACGTAAACAGTTAGGTGTGTATCAGTATATTGGATTGGTCTTAAAGGGACACCAGTCTAATTTACCTGCTGCTGTCTGTCATTATTAATGTTATTCACTCACTGCACTTGACTGAATCACTTTTGGACCTTCAATAAGAATCAGTTCATGTTTGATCGATACAGTGAAGACTATGCAGTGTTTTATTTATACGCTTTATTCAATTTCTGTAATATTTCGTACTACATGTTAAATAAACCTACTGTAGCTGAATAAATTAAGTTTATTTTATATTTATTCGTTCTATTGTGTTTTTAATTAGCTCCTTTTTCTTAATTTTAATAACAAAAAAAATAGCTATATCGAGATATATATCGTTATTGTGAAACTAAATTTCTCATACCGTGAAATAAGATTTTGGTCATATTGCTGACCCCTAATACCTAGCAACATTTGATGCATTCACAAAAAAACAAACACTTGATGCATTGTCGGCATTTGACACCGCCTTCAAATACTTTTTTCAGAATCAGTCCGATACCGATACTTTCATTTTTGGTACTCGCCGATACCAATACAGATACCTGTATTTTCACAGCATTTGAAATTTAAAAAAAAAATATTGGGTACAGAAACATAATAATAATAATACTACTAATAATATGAATCATGTTAGTTGGCTTCATTTAGCAAACAGATATTTCCTTCAGTTATTTAAACACTTAATTATACCTGTTAAAATGTATCGTATAAGCTTTTGTTACTTTAACTGTTCATTTTAATGGCACATTAGAGCAGCTCAATACTGTAATCACAAGACATTTTCCTAAAATAATGCAGGGAACCACTCGTTATACATTATACGAGTGCGCGCGTACAATTTTGGTGATGTAATTTGCGTCACACAAACTGTATGCGGACCCTCGTGTAGGAGTAAAAAGTATACTTTGGCCTTTAACCCTCATGTGGTGTTCAGGTCATTTTTGCCCTGGAACACCACAAGTGTTATAGGGTTTTGAACACAACACAAGGGTTAAAGCAAGCTAAACATGTGCATTGGGGGCATTTTTATGAGTAGGAGTACGAGTGCAGGAGCGCAGTATCGGGCCAGATACCGATACCAGTATCGGTATCGGTGCATCCCTAGCAGTTTTTGTTTTCCCTGGGGATCAAGCATATCACTGCATGTGCTATGAATGTGACTTCAAACACTAGGAGACGCACAACAAATGAAAACAATATCTGTTCGAAAATTGAATCAAATCGAGATTCCAACCAAATTGGATTGAATCAAGAGCTTGCAAATCTGAGTAGATTTGTGAAATCTGTCAGCTCTATGTATGACCACACTCACACAGCAGCACAATACGGTTGTCAGTCCTGTATTTGAGTCATTAATACGGTTGCGTTCACACACAGTTCAGGTATTTATTAGAGTGACAACTGCATTGCGACTCAAATCCTTTGCTCTCCTCTCAGAGTGATTGGACTCTTGTTGTGTCAGATGTGATGAGACTTTCCAGTTTAATGCATGTCTTTGATATTACTGTAGTCATCTATAATACAGGCGTGATTTGGTTACTCGTTCATGCAGACAGTATTGGAGCTGCTCTTGTCAACAGGCCATCTTGACTCAAGTAAACACAGTTCTTTTCAGTTCATATGTATTTCCTTTATAATGTTTTTAATCATTTTTATTAAGCTTAAGCCTTAATTTTAAGATTAATGTTGATTGCCTAGATTTTTCGATAGATGGGCAGAAAATTATGAGAGGATTATATCATGAGAGGAAGAAAAGACTTCTTCTGACAGAATTGTAAGTTAATAGAAATTTAATGTATACTATTACAAATGTGCAATTCGAATGTAAGAAATGAGAATCTGGTTTGTTACATTCTAATGTAATTAATGTGAAAAAGTAACAAGGTTGCAGATGTAGCCCTAAATTATGCAGTCACTCAGTAGAAACTTGATAGTACTGAGTGATTGCATAATTTAGGCTACATCTGAAACGGAAATAATGTTGTGAAATTCATTAATTATGAAACGAATTCAGTTTCAATTGTAAAGATAGTTTAAATACTTCAGGCACCTTTGCAGATTGTTTATATGTAAGTATCTTATTACAAGGCTCCAGAAAAATCACAAAAAAATCACTTAAGAAACCAATGGCTTCTGTAAGAAACAAAATTAGGCACCAAATAATTTTTTTTAAGTGCCACAGAATAAAAGTGGTTTCATTCATTCATTCATTCATTTTTTTAACACTTTAACATTTCAGTCATACTTTCATGTGTTTGTCTCATTTTATCAGCATTTTAATCCATCTTGTAGATGTCCTGGGAACTAAGGTTCACTTAAAGTGGGAACTAAACATCTTTGTCTACTTAAGAACGGTGTACAGTCACAAATAATTGTTTAGTACACAGAATCTGTGCCAATATCACAGACTATAACTATGTCAGCATCACTTGGCCATTGAGTGTAGTTTGGGCTCCTACTCAATGCATCATATAAATGCTGTCATATGTCCTGCACACCTGTTTTTCTTCATTAGTAACATGCAGTTATATAGGAGATGTTGAATTTTATCTTTAGCTGCTTGCATTGTTTCTTATCATGTAGACAACAGGTTAAGTAAAAATATGGATATGCAATATAGCGCATATATTTAGCAAGATGCTCTTCTTTATAGTTATTTTTTCTAGCTGACTGATGAGCTTATGGACGCTGAATGGTTATTCTGAGGTAAATGATTGTTACGTTGTTTACAAGCTTTACACGTTTTCCGCAGTTTGAAACACTGAATGAGCAAGTTTATTACGTCAGTTTATTACGTCAACATAAATGTTGTGATCGCAAAACAAGCAGGAAAAAGGCATTACATCAGATTTTATTCAACATTTTTTAATTTATATAGTCGCCAGTGGCGATCTCATAAAAAATTTAACTCGCTTATTAATATAAAAATTAGGGATGCACCGATACCACTTTTTCCAGTACTCGCCCGATACCGCTACTTTTATTTTTGGTACTTGCTGATACAGGGTACCGATACCGACATTTTTATTGCATTTGTAAATTTTTTAAATATTGGGTACAGAAACCAAAAGAGTATGTATAATGTTAGTTGGTTAACTTCATTTATCAAATAGATAAAGTCAAACCAAAATTTATTCAGACACCTTCAACATTTCTCACATTATCACAGTTTATTCGCTATAGTTTAGAAATTGGTAATAAAATATGACAAGAACTCAGAGGTAAACTGTGTCAGAACAAATTCATCTTGATAATGTTAGATAACTTTGAAAGAAAGGTATGTAATGGATTACAATCAACCAAAAATTAGACAGCTGTTAGTATGACAGTATTTACACAACTATCAATACTTAGTCGGGCAGCCCTTAGCCTTAATGACAGCCTGTAGTCTCCTGGGCATGCTGTCACCCAGCTTCATGCAAACCTCAACTTCAGCGTTTTTTCCCAGACTCGGTCTGAATAGTTTTTGGTCCCAAATTTGTATCAATTTTACTGGTAGTCCACGTACAGAAGCTCAGTATCGGGCCCGATACCGATACCAGTATCGGTATCGGTGCATCCCTAATAAAAATATTACATTTATATAATATTAAATGCGAGCGTTTTATTTGCAGTCTGGAGCCCTGTATTATCTAACAAGCTGTTGTGCTCGGTTTCTGTCTCAAGCCTCAGATCTTCTGCCCTTCAGCTCAAACTGGTGTGCGTTCTTATTAAGAGCAGATGTGTTTCGTGCCAAGCTTTGTTTCCTGTCACTGGTGTCAATGCATGTGGATTTAGGATGACTTTAAGCCGGTGTGCTTGCATAATGAGATCTCCACCCACTCCAGATCCGTTGCACTAGCTCATATACCCCAGTATCTGTCTGTTTCTCTCTAAACACGCTTGCTGGCAGCACTAGGCTCGTCTTTAAAGCGGCCTCACTTGCAAAACAATCCTCCATACATTTCACTTCCTCTGATAATTGGCACAGGAGTCTATGAGTTTGATGAGCTCTAATGAAATGTTCAGAGTGTCATGACCGTACAGGAGAGCTGTCCGTTATGTGTTAAAAAAGGTGCTGAGATTATTATACTACTAACAAGATGTACCTGATCTTTCTCAGTGGCACCATGAAATATCAGCACAACTTTATGGCATTTACACTGCCGTTCAAAAGTTTGGGATCAGTACGATTTTATAATTAAATTTTTTTTAATGACGTCTCTTCTGCTCATTAAGGCTGTATTTATTTGATCAAAGAAACACACACACACAAAAAAAAACAGCACAAATTGTGAAATATATTATTATAATTTAAAATAATGGTTTTCTATTTTGATACGCTTTGAAATGTAATTTATTGCTGTGATCAAAGCTGTATTGTCAGCATCATTACTCCAGTCTTCAGTGTCACATAATCCTTCAGAAATCATTCTAATATGATGATTTATTATTAGTGCTGGAAACAGTTGTTCTGTTCTTTTTTTAACTTATTCATCAAAGAATCCTGAAAAAAAAGTATAACGTTAACATGTTCCAAAAGAAAAAAATGTATACAAATAAAATACACACAAAAAATTAAAAAAAAGATTAAGCAGCGCAACAGTTTTCAACATTGATAAGAAACTGGGGTAAACAAGACTGGAGTAATGATGCTGAAAATTCAGCTTCAGATAAATAAATTATATTTTAAAGTATGCTAAAATAGAAAACCATTATTTTAAATTATGTGTGTGTGTGTGTGTGTGTGTATATGTGTGTGTGTGTGTGTCTATATATATATATATATGGTATATACAGTGGGTACGGAAAGTATTCAGACCCCCTTAAATTTTTCACTCTTTGTTATATTGCAGCCATTTGCTAA